CAGTGGAAGCAGTGCACGTAGAATTGCCTGCTTATTTGAGTCATATGAAAAAAAGTAGAGTTGCCAGGGGCACCATAAAATATTTCACGGGTTACATGGTGAGGAAAATCAAAAAAAATATAAATCATTGTGAAGCTTGCAAAAATAATTTTTATGCAGGATACACTTCCCAAGACAATGATGTCATTGAAGCCTCGGAATATGCAGGTTGCCAATTGGTGCGCCCTGGTGATTATATAACTTATGTAACAAATGAAATTTTAAGTTATATCTTCTATTTATTGCCAAGAATTTGTCATGTAAATAATATTTCTATGTGTATATATAATGCAATTTTACCAAAGGTGTCTCTCGCACCATTAAACTGTCCCCAACACGATACTGTCTCTGTGACTTATGTAAAATTACTGATAAGGGTTATTATTCATTTTTGGTGCAAGCAAATAAATCGTATTGCAAAAGGGAAAGATGCAAAATTCATAACCTTATACAATGCTAATCGCAATGTTTTGGATCCCTTAAAAATAGCTGCACATCAAAGGTTTTTAAATAACAGCAAGCGTTTTAGAAAAAAGTAATGCCATTTATTATATTTAAATATCTTGTACTTGAATTACGTTTATAAGGCTAGATGTAAAGTAGTTATGCATTTGTTTTATTTGTTCTGTTGTCTCAATGTTTTTTCCAATATTTTTTTGTATTTGCTTATTGATTCGTTTTTTTACTATTTTTAGGCTTAATAAAATTGGTGCTAATTACTATGTGTACTATGTGAATGAATTTGTATGTTAACTTTGTTAAACTTTACCTTTGAATGTGACTTATCTGAAAAATATTCTTGTGAAACTGCCTCTCACCTTATCTATTACTTGTGAATCATTTTTAATGCATTTAATAAATTCTTACTAATCCTTTTCTACTCATCTTTTGCCTCCTGTCCTTCGTACTGCTGTATTGAACCATCAAATATTTATTATAGCTTATTTTTTTTACGACAGTATATGGGGTTGGTCAATTGTCGCGCAGGAAAGTAAAAAAAAATAGAATTAGTTTAGTTGAATCCAGTCAAGTTTGATATTTATTTTTGAACAACATTTCATGACATTTATGTGTGAAAAATAATATCGCTTAAATGTTCACCACGACTGGATTAAAACACGACTATACGATGGTCGAATTTTTGAATGACATTTTCCCATAAAGCTATTCCAATGTTTTGAAATGGAGAAGCTTAACTTGTTTTATTGGCGTAGACTTTGATTTTCAAATAATTTCAAAGAAAATAGTGTAAAAGTGTCATATCGCATGAACAAGCTGGCTAATTGACGGGTCGATTTCTTGAAATTAAGCGATTGCAAATTGCGCGAATGGATTTTTCATTTTTTACCATCTTTGTAGTGTTCTTCAATAATATAAACATGATCTTCAATCGAATACGACTCCACGGCTAAATTTGTTAGACATTCAACTAACGAAATGACATATGGCTGTCAATTAGAACTAACGTGTCCCTATCGGAGCCCTCTCCAATTAACTGCATCACTATTGGCCAACCCTTTATTTATTGTACATATCATATTCAAATCGCCCTAATCTTTATAATATTTATAATGGAAACTTGGGGTGCAATAAACACAGAAACTGCTATAATCTGGCCAAATCTGATTCTCAGTACAGTCAGGAATTGGAGTATCAAAACGAATTGGGACCAGTCGTGGTTCGTTTAATTTAATCTAACATCAGTAGTTACAAAATTCAGTATGTAGAAAGAGGTTGAAAAAATAAGGAATGCAAGTTTGAATAAACTGTATTATATTTACTAATAAAACAGTAAACAAAAGTGTAAATCGGCCAGTTCTTTTCTTCCACCCCAAAAAAATACTCGCAACTGCTCCTATGATGGCATAAATAGTCTGTCTATGCTTGTTTCGGATAATTGCAGTTGCAGCCCCATTGTAGCTTTATATAATTTTCTACTTAATATACCCGGCGTTTGGATTGTGTGGCATTACAAACTGTCTTTGGCAAGGTATATTAAATAGGAAATTATATGGTGCTATTGGGAAGCAACTTATGGCCGTTTGCACCGACAAATTTAAGTGGAGCTTAGCTTAAGCGTAGCTTAAAATCCATGGCAACCATTGTCTCAATAATCGTTGCCATGGATTTTAAGCTACGCTTAAGCTAAGCTCGGCTTAAATTCGTCGGTGTAAACCAAGTGTAAACGGCCATTATTAGCCGCCTAAATTTAAACGACCCGCCATTTATTAAAAATAATTCGTGGACCAACCAAGAGATGGCGCGTCTTTTGGCTCCGCAGTAGAGTATTGTTGATATCCTTCTAAATATTACTGTTCTGTGGTTATAGCTATAGGACTAGCGGCCGCGAAGTACCTATACGTACGTAAAGTAACTAAAGTAACAAAGATAAACTAAAATAAAAAGAAGTGAGCAACAAGAATATGGTCATTAAAAAATGTGTTTGTCCCGAAAGTATTTCAGGAAAACTGCAAATACCTGCACCACTCTTCATCCTTGCTTTTGTATTTGTGTGGTAACGGTGTGGAAACAGAAAGGGTCTAAAACTCTTCAACACGCATATTCGAGCCCATTCAATTTTAGTTTGCTCGCTCATCAATACTGTACTGTCTTGAAAAAAGGGAAATACTAGGTTGCTTTCGTTTCTCATTTCAAAGACAAAATCGTTCTGCCGTCCTTATTGAATACGTCATATCTGCATTTTTTCACTTCGTAAGGCTATTACAGATACAGTACAACATGATTCCTATGTATACTGCCCAGTTAGAATGTCCTAAATACTCTCATTCCTGTGTTAAAATTAATTTAAAGGTGTCGCCCCATGTGTAAATTCGGTACTTCTCCTAATTTCAAACATGATATGTTTCATTTGGTAAATTAACCTGCCCTAGCATGCTTTGGATGACTTTATTTTAGTAGATGAATGTATTGAAATATTCAACGGCCATAAATCCTCTATAATTAACTAGTGATAGTGCTTACACGTGTGTGAAGCTTTAGTCATTAATGCAGTGAGAAACGAGAATAAAGGAATTCGTCAAAGTGCCAGAGATTTTGGTAAAAAAAGATTTATTGGTGTAAATAGGATTTTGAGCTAATTGCAATTATTATTTTGTGACTTGTATTTGAATATGCCGAAACATAGCGTTTAACCTTACCAATAGGAAAACCACATACTATGACAACCATACAAGTGCTTACGAAATAAGAGAAATAAGAACTATTATAAAGATAAACGATTTGCCGAATATATAAAAGACAAAGTATGTGAACAAAACTTCAAGATAGGCAACCTTCTCAATTTAGAAGGAATAGTTCAGATTGAGAAGGAAATATTTATATTCACTTGTCCATCTCATGGTAAAGTATTAGGGCCCACATCTTTATTTTTAGGTGTCCTTGATATCATGCAAACTCGCTTCTCACTTTATTTATACTGGACACTTTGTGATATTTTTTCGTTGTGATACTTGATGAAGGTTAAACTTGTTTTGGTTAGATTTAATTTAGGTACACTCAGAGAAATTATTGATATTATTAACAGAAGGCTTTTTGTAAGCTCTTTACAGTAACAATTGATTAAATTGTTTAAGAAAAACTAAAGTGTTGATTAAATTAAGCCATAGTATTTACCTTCTCCTATTCTAACAACATTTCAATCCTTATAGTTGCAACGCAAGGTTTTATCTGCTGCAAAAGGTTTTTAAATTGCATGGACCAAATATTAACATAAACGTGACAATTAGAGTTGCGTCATGTTAACTGAGAACTTAAATAATAATACCAACAAAGAGCTATTGTTGATATAAATGTTACAGTTTGTACTGTAATAATATAATAGTGACCATACAATACTGGGGAGCGAATCAAAAAAATTAATTGTAAAGAGTACAGAATATTATATCATGCCTACAGCATACAACATTACGTTGAAGGTATTTAGTCAAAGCAAGCGCATTTTATTTTATATATGAATAAAAGATATGGTGACTTGCACTTTTGGTTTCTTCATTTGACTTTCGAACGTAATGAAGCAATGGTGAAGCTGCAGGGCTGTGTTAAAAAAAAGAAAGTTAAAAGCGAAACATTTAAATTAAAAAGTTTATTTCAACAGTGGAAAATTTGCTGCGTTGATTTGTTGGTAAAAAAGTGTAGAGGTAAGTAAAACGGTATTTTAAGATCATATCAGAACATCGTTTCTTATTTTAGAATACAATCTCAGTGTTGAGTCATTGCGCAATTTACGATTAGGACAAATTAACAATTTTTGCCAACAAGATCCGGCACTTCCATTCGGGGACCAAATTATACTCGAGCACATTATTCATGTGCTAAGGATTTCCAACGACATTAACCGGTAAAAGTAAAATTGTAACAGTATGATTTGTTTTGCCTGTAAAAAAACATTTCAAGATTTTCATCACTTGTCAAGACACTTTAAATTTTTTCATAGGTTTAATTCACAAAATGCAAACTATAAATGCTGCGAAGGCAAATGCTTACAAGTATTTCAAAATTTAAGTAGTTTTAAGAGACATGTGCAGAAAAAACATTTTAATGTAGTACCTGCTCAAGCTCAATTGAGTCCAGCCAGTAGTCAAAGCTTAGTTAAAAAAATGGGAACGAAGATTTTAGTTCAACCACGTTTATCAATTACGATAATCAAAATGCTACCAACCGTACAGAAGAAATCCCTAAATATTCTACCAATTTTGATAATGACTTTGATTCAAGTATAGACTTCAACGATTCTTTAAATACGCTATTAAAGTCGGCAATAAATTTTACAATAGGGCTTCACTGCAAAAACCACTTTAATTTTAAAGATGTTTTGAGTATACAAAATTATGTAAAAGATTGTATTTCTCAGTCTTTTGTGGACCTTATTAGAATGGCGTTATGCAAAAAAATTAAAAATTTTAAAAGTCTGCATTCTGATATTGATGTACTCTTAACTTATTGTAGTAACCCATTTATAATGTGTGACAGTGAATACACATTAATAAAATGGCTTGAAGAGCATGACTACATGCGTGATTCTTCAGAATTTACAATCAATAAAGACATGGTACCGGTATATCGTAATGGGCAATTAAATTATGAGGAAAAGGTAAGAGGAGGTAAGGAGTAATGTTACCATTAAAGTTTCAGTTTAAAAAGGTATTTGAGAACAATCCCGATACATTAGAAAGTTACTTAAATTTAAGTCGGGAGATGAGTAGCAGTTCAGAAATAGAACATTTTATTCAGGGTGAGCTGTGGGAAACTAAGATAAAAAAGTTTGGGGCGGACGACTACGTTATTCCATATTTTTTATATATGGATGATTTCGAAATCAATAATCCTTTAGGAAGCCATTCCTTAGGTATATCAGGAATTTACTATTCTTTTCCTATGATTTTCAACAATTCCAGATTAGATAAAATCTATTGTGCCGTTTTTTTGGAAGCTTCTGATTACCATAAATACGGTAAT